GGACACACGCACGCTGCCCACCATGGCGATCTGAATTGTGAAGCAGACGTGTGCCCCCTCGGGGCGTGGCTCCAGCTGATGACTCCCGCAAAAGCCCGAGTACAGGGTCGGTCCCGGATGGCAGAAGAACCAGGCCTCCGCGCCAGGCGGGTGCGTGCTCGGACCCTGCTTCTGCCCAAGGGTCCGTGCAGACCCCGGGCGAGTGGACCCCCTCCCCCTGCCCCAGCCTCCCGAGGTGGACCCCGGACAGGGACCCACGCGGCGTGCGAGGGCGTGGCGCACACAGGGCGCCCGGAGAACCCTCCTCCGCGGCCTTCCCCTACAGAGGAGTTCTGGGCCCGCCTCTGCCTTCCCTGCCCAGCCCGCCGTCAGCCGGTTCCCACTGCGCATCCTGGAGCTGGTACGTTGAAGATGTCCCCGGGGGGGGGGGGGGGGGGAGGGGGCGGCACCGTGAAGGCCGCCTGCCGGATGGGCTCCCTGCGACCGCCCTTCTCGTCGCCACTGCGTCGGGTAGACACGCCCCGGGCTAGGGGAGCTCACGTGGCAGACAGCGCGCGAGGGAGAAACTGCGGACTGTTTTTGCGCACGGAAACCAGGGGCTCCCAGAACGGGGCGTCTTGTGCTGGGGCCACACGGCGAGTCGGGGGCAGAGGACCGTTGGAGCCCGGGCCTCCCGGTGTCCAGAGTCCCTGTTCCATCCCCGGACCGCTGAAGATCGGCGTCCCCGGCCTGCCCGGTCTTGTCCTGCTCGTCCGTCCCCCGCCATGTGTCTCCACAGGGTTGCCTGTTTTCTCTGTTACCCATTTGCTCCCTCCCCGTTAAACAAGGGGAAGCGCAGGCCGCGTGTGGCGCCGGGTGGGGGGTGGGGGTGGCCCGCGACACTGACCGGAGGGGCTCAGTCTTGGAGCACGGGGCTGCGGGGCCCGGGGACCCGACGCACACGCACGGCGTGGGGAAGCTTCTCGCGCACGTGGCGGGGCAGCACCGCGATCCTCTCCACTCTGCGCGGGGCAGCGTCTACACCAGCTGCCAATACTGGGAGGAGCCTGCAGGGGGCGCAGTGTGGCCCTGCAGGGCCCGGGGTCTTTCCAAGCAGCAGAGCTGGGGGGGCGGGGGGGACCGGCCACCTTGCCCCAGGCCTGGCCGCGTGGGGCATCTCTTGCGGCGTTCATGAGCTTCGGACCCGCGTTTAGAGGAGGAAGGCAGGTTTGGAAAACACAAGTCAAACAGCAAAGCCTCGGCTGTGCAGTCTCGCACGATCACCACAGCCCTTCCCCGACGTTATTATTAGGTCCATACCCTGATATTAATAACAATAAAGCGATCTCGGGCACGTGCCAGGCGCAGCAGCGGCTCACGGAGTCCGAAGGGTGACCCTTTGAAGGACGCCCCTTTGCCCGTCCTGTTTGACGGAGGCAGGAGCACCACCGGAGTCAGGATTCGAACCCAGGCGGCCGAACGGCATAGACCACACCAGAATTCTTCTGGTCCCTCCAGCAATGACAGCTGAGTCCCTTTCATCTCCAGGTTCTGACTGAGCTTCCGGGACCCTGACATGGTCGACATCACACGCTGACAGCTCTGTGAACCTTCAGGGGCCCCCCTGAGGCTGGGGCTTTATGTAGCTTCCAGACCGGCCTGGCCCTTCTGGAATCTTCTGACCCTGCGCATGAGGTCAGGGTGCCAACTCCCACCTCTCCCCCCGGAGCCTCCTGGGAGAAGTGCTCTGGGCTGGTACATCTGTTGGCTGTGGACAAAATGTGAGCTCTGGGCCATTTGAAAGCCATGTGGGGCTCCAGCTGTCGGGACTAGCCCGGAGGAGAGGGTGGGGACGGGAGGCCCCGGCCGGCAGCCTGGTCCTTCCCTCCCGGCTCAGCCTCTCCAGGCCTGCTGACACCTCGGTCCCCTCGCTGCCTGCGGAGAGAGATAAGCATCTTTCCCGGGAGGCCATAAGTCACCTTCTGACCCAAATTAAAGTGTGCCGAGCCTTCTGGCAAGGGGGCTGCAGCTCTCGGAGCCCCATAACAGCGAGGGGCTGGCCGCCTGGGCCCCTGGATCCCGGAGTCTCATCCATCAGCTGGGCGGCTTTGATTCTGATAACGGTTTGATCTCCAGTGACATCCTGTCACTGGGCTGGGGGAGGTTTATGGCCCCACTTCCCCCCCCCCCCCAGGCCTCGAATTGAGCTCAGTGGCTCCAGGGGACCCTGTCCAGCCTGGAGGTGGCCTGCATCGGTCCTTAACGCTCCGGAACATTTGCTGATCTCGCTCGGGGTTTTACTGCCATTATTGTGGGTTGCGGGTACAGCTCTATTATGTTTTAACCTGTTCGTATATTTTTTTAAAACGTGACATCATCTCACACCTCCGAAAGAGCCGCCAGCGCGGGGCAAGGGAGCTCTCCGTGTCCCCGCCATCAGCCCTCGGTCCCCGGCCACCAGATGGCCCAGAAGTGCTTGCCTGACAAGGGCTCCCCGTCAGGATCAGGACCCCGCGTGGCACTCGGCGGCTGAGCATGTGGGGCTGGAGGGCTGCGCGTTCTTACCGTGACCGTGGGCTCGTCTTCTGCGCAGGACAGGGGGGTTATGCTGCAGACCGTCCCCCAGTTTGGGTTTGTCCGATTGCTTCTTCACGGCTGATCTGACTGACGGGGGGTGACTGGCAGGAAGGCGCCCTGCTCAGCGCCTCCTGGCAGGTGGTCCAGCAGGGGAGCTCATAGTCGCCTTCCACGTATCGATTCGTGTCGTTCTCCTGACAAACCCATGCTGCGGATTATTAGTCATGGTTTCTGGGTAAGGAAACGATGGCACAGAGAGGTTGAGTCATCTGCCCCAGGTCACACAGCCAGCAGGTAGCAGAGTGGGGACTGGAACCCAGAGTCCAGGCCCGTGTGTCTGAGGCTTGGGCAGGTGTCTCCTCGGCCGCGTTTGCCTCTAGACCCTGTGCTCCTGGGAGGAAGCAGAGGCTCCGTCAATTCTTGTGTAAAGATTCTAGAAGCTACGGTCACACAGCCAGCTGGTAGCAGGCACGTGCTCCCAAGCCCGGGGCTGGCCTCGGTCACCACCGTCTTCCTGTGCCGCGTGGGGCGAGCCCGCCTGCTTCTTGGCTTTCGGGGCCGCCCCGGACCTTCCTCCCGTCCTCCCTCCCACCTCCCACCCCTGTCTGTCTCTGCCCCTGTGCTGCTCCCCGGCTCCACAGCCCCAGGGCTTTCCCTAGCAGCCCCAGAGGCCGGGCTGGGGGCGCTGCTGACCCCACCTCCAGGCAGACCTCAGGAGGTCCGGGATTCCTGAAGTGGACAAAGCATGTTCTGGAAGAAAGGAGAAGCAGGTTAGATGGGTTCAGACCCATCCCGGGCACGTCTGTCTCCAGGAGAACCGAGCCCGTCCCTCCACACGTTCCGGGGGGGCTCAGGAAGCCTGCTCCCGGGAGCCCCCGGGGGCGGGGGAGGCCACTGACGAGATGCAAACCTCTGCAGAGGTCTCCCCCAGCCCACTCGGAGGGTGACAGGGAAGGGGCCGGCTGCTCTCTGCCTCCTGCAGCCCCCACAACGAGGCCCCCACCCACCCTGCCCCAGGCCCACACCCGTCTCCTGGCCGCCTCTGGTCCCAGGCGTGTGGCTCTGAGCGGGGCTCTGAGGCCACGAGAGTGGGTCGCTTGTGGGGTTTGGGAGAGGGTTGTCCCGGAAATGTCCATGGGAGAAGCCCCTGGGGTGGGGAGGGAGAGACAGAGAAGCCACAGAGAGAGAGAGACAGAGCAGAGGTGGGGGGAGAAGGACTGAGAACAGAAGCAGGTGGAGCGAGAGCCGCACCCACAGGGGTGCAGGGGAGCCAACTTGGAGCCCGTGTCTCGGGGACACCCGGAGACGGGACAAGGAGAAGGGCAGACGGGGCGGGCAGAGACGGTGGCAACCAGCCTCCCCCCGGCACCGGGAGGGCACCTGACGCAGCAGGGGCTCCCGGTCTGGGGAGGGGAGCAGCCTGCCTGGCTGTGTGTGCCCACCATCCCCAGACCCTCGTCCTGACCTGCCCGGGGAGCCAGTGGGCGCCTGGGTTGTGGGAGCGCAGAGAACACGGGCGGGTGTGTGTCCGCCCTTCGGGGGCTGTGTGCACTCGAGCGTGCATCCTGGCTGCCTTCCCTGTCCTCTTCCTGAGAGCCAACCTCCCCATCCCAGAGCCTGGCCCGGGGTCTCCCCGGATCCCCACCCAGGAGCCTCCCCCCAGGCCTCCAGACCCCCTCCCCCACCCAGAGCCTCCCTCCCATCTGAGTAGGTTGCTGGGTGGGCAGCAGGGCTTGGGGACAGAGGCTGGTGACTAGGGTGGTCCCGATGGACCTGGCTGACTCCCACCTCCACGTGGGGGTGTCGGGGCTCAGGTCTGTGACAGCCTTTCTGAGCGGGCCTTTGGTGGCAGGTCGGACGGCCAGCTGGTCCCCATGCTCACTCGCGTCCTCCTGACCCCCCACGGCAACCCGCACAACCCCCTCACTGCTTCCCTCGATCCAGCCCAGCCTCGGCCACGAGCACCTCGAAGTTATCTGAGTCTCTGATTCCAGCCCCAGTGGCTCCTGTCCCGTCTGAGAGCGGGTGGAGCCCTTGGGAAAGTCACTCGCGTCCCTGGGCCTCAGTCTCCTCATCTTGTTTTTGCACCACGCTATCTGTGAAAACAAGGCAAACAGAAGCACGCGAGAATCCCAGCGCGGCCCTTGGGGCGCAGCGGACTCGTTGGCACCCGGCCCCGTCGCCCGCCAGGCTCCCAAGCCTTGTTTAGCCCATGTGCGAAAGAGGGACGGCGAGGTCCTTACCCCGGGGCGTCTGAGGGGCTGAGACCAGGCCCGTGAGGGCCCGCACCCCTGGCTGGCGAGCCCCCGCTCAGGACACGGGCGGCCCCTGCCGCCTGCCGGTTGTGATTCCCGCAGCGCGAGGCCCCTGAGCCAACCCGGGGGAGCCGGTCGGCTCAGGGGAGGCCTGGAGAGGTTCCCAGGCCCTGGGGAGGCTCCCCAGTGGCACGCCGTCCTCTCCCCCCTAATCCTCTCGCCTTCCAGACAGAGCCCCGGAGACTTTGTTCTGCATGTGGTTTCTGGGGCGCTTCGGCCGAGCTGACGAAACGAGGAAATGCCGGCACGGTTCCCAGAAGCGCCTGGCTCCGCGCTGCTCTGGTCGCATCCGCCGACAGCCGAGACCAAAGCCGCCTCGCGCTTCTGACGTCTGACAGCGGGGCGCGTCGACAGCGGCGGGGGCCAGGCGGGCGTTCCTGCTGTCCGTGCCCCCTGGGACCTCCACTGGCTCTGGGCTCCCTTTGAAGCTACTGGGAACTCGGTGCCCAGGGCGGCCCTCGGCGATCCCAGACAGGATGAGGCTCTCGGTCCCAAGGGCCTGCTCCAGGGGCGACGGGAACTTCCCGAG